CTCCAGGATCTCCCTCTGTTTTTTTGGGGTGCCAGGTTTGGGGGTTAGGGGTATGGGGTGGGGGTGGGAAGAGGGGAGGAGGGTGCATGCATGGTGTGTTAGAGGGCGGCGGGGTTTCTTCTCCTGGGGAGTTCGCAAACGCTCTGTTTTCATATTCAACGTAGTTGCTGCCCTGACATCGCACGTTCTCCAAGGGCGAACGGCGGGCGGCAGGGGGTGTCAATGCTGGTGTGGTGGCATGAGTCTGCGACCGAGTTGACCCTGTTTGACCGTGCGAGATCACCTGGATCACGTCTGCCGCCTGCAGCACCTCCTTCGGCAGAGCGAACTCAGCCAGCACAAGCCCCAGCGGCTTCCTCGGCGCCCGCGGCGGCGCCGGCTGCGCGGGCCCCGCGGGCCCCGCCCACCACGCTGGGTCGAGCGGTGCGAGCGCGCCGCGCACGACGCCGCTCGGCAGCTTGAGCAGGCCGCCAAACGGCCCGCGCTGCGGCGGCGGCGCAGCTGCGGACGCAGGTCCGGGGGAGCTGGGCAGGTGGTGCACCGGAGACGGCTGCGCGGTCGCTCCCGCGCGCACGACGGCGTCGCCGCTGACGTCACCGCTGATGTCAGTGCCGCCGCCGGAGAAGAAGCCAAAGTTCTCAAACCAAGAAGAGGCCGCCGCCGCCGCCGCTGCCGCCGGCGCGGGCGCCGCCGCAGCAGTCGCGCCGTTGCGTGACCCCGCCGTTTGCCCGGCTGCCGATGCGGAGGGCAGCAGCGAGTGCATGAGGTCGAGCGTCGCCCGCCGCTGCAGCTGCAGGTCGCGCTCGCTCTCGTCTATCTCATCCGGGCAGTCGGCCAGCGCGTGCGACCGGGGCGCAGGGGCGGCTCCAGACCTGCCCTCCTCCCTCAAACGCGCCGCGTCCGCGGCGGGCGGCCGCGTGGGGCGGCGCCGCACAAGGTGGGGGTGCGGCTTTGGCAGCGCCGCCGCCTGGGCAGGTTGTGAGGACCCGTGCCCCTCTGCCGCCGCGGCCATCAGCACTGCCGCCCCAACAGCCGTGGCGGACGCCACAGCGGCCTCGCTGCCTGCGCCTGTCCCTGTCTGAGGGCCACCGTGACCTTCTGCAGCCGAAACAGATTCAGCCACATTTGACTCATGCTCACTCCAGGCCGCCGCGCTTTCCGCCTCTGCAACCCCCGCATCGCCCACACCCCCTGGAGGGCTCGCCGAGGCTGTCGACGCGGCTGCGACGCCCGCAGCTCCCGGCTCCACCGCCCCACTGCCGCTGCCGCCGCCGCCGCCGCTCAGCCGGTCCATGATGTATTGGTGCCCCAGCCCCGCCGCCGCCGCCAGCCGCGCCCCCACGCTCTCGAGCGACGCGGGCGCCGCCGCGAAGCTGCCGCCGCCCGCGCCCACGCCGCCCACGGCCGTGGCGCCGCTATGCGCCGCCGCGGCGGCGGCGATGCCGGCGGTGGCGGTCGTCGCATCGGCGGGCGGTGTGCGGGCGGGCTGAGCTGGCGATGCTGACGAGGCCTCGCTGCCCGCTTGAAGCTGCTCCGGCGGTAGCTGCTGCTGCTGGTGCGGCGGCGTCGGCGCCGCCTCTGCGACGTCAAAAAACATCGCCCCCAGGCCGTCAAACAGCAGGTGCTCCATAGCTCACGGGATCTTCTGCTGGTGCTCGACGGACACGCGGCCCGCGGCTGCTCGCTGCGCCCTCGCCGCACTGCGCGCGTGCAAATCAGCGCGAGCGAGCGAGGTCACCCGCGCGCCTCTGCGCGGGTGTGCACGCGGTGACGCGGGGTGGAAGGACGGCGTCGCCAGCTATCTCAATGTGATTTGAAATACATGTGGTTAGAGCGGCGCTGTGCGTTCTTACCTCGCTTGCTGGCGCGTCAGCATCGGAGACAACTGCAGCCCAGCTTCTCTCCCCTTCTCAGGTCGCCGTAGCTCGCCTTGGTGGAAGCGCAGTCGCATCCGACTAGTTGTGCCTCATCGTATATACCTTCCCTAGCTGGCGGGGTGGCCAGCATTTATCAGGCGATCCAGAGTCAGATCGTTTGGTGCCGTTGCGCGAGAGACCCGGCATATAAGCAGCCATGGTGCTGTGTGGGCAGACTGGTGGCCTGCTCTTGCGCGGTGGCAAGCGCTGCGCTCGGCTGCTGCGCTCGTACCACGCGTCGAAGGGCCCGTTGGCAGCCGAGCCGGAGCCTGTGCCGCTCTCCAAGCTCAAAGATAGTTTCAACGATGCCACCAGCGTTACATACCTGGAAGAACTCGAGAAACGGTACCTGGACGACCCCGGCAGCGTCGACCGCACCTGGGCGTCGTTCTTCAAGTCCCTCGGTGCGATGCTGCGGCGCGCCCGCTGCGCGGCCGCCGCTGCTTGACACCGTGCCGCGCATTATTCCGGATCGCCGGGCGGCAGCTTAGCCACTGCCGCGCGCCCAGATCTGCCGCGCCCGCGTCACCTCGTGACGCGTCACGCGTCCGCAGCGGCCGCGCCGCGCCGCCCGCCGCCGCGCCCCACCCGTTGCCCGCCTCTGCCCCGCGCGGAACCTTACACCATCAGAGTCGGGCGTCCCCGGGGAGGCGATCGCCGAGGCATATGACAAGTTTGAGAAGGGCGAGGTGCGGTTTCGCAATCTGCGCCCCGTCCTAGCGTATCCTCGGATCTTTTCGCGCGCGGTGCACTTTTTCACAGGGGGATCGGCGAGGTGTCCTCGGGCGCGTGGGCGTGGCCGCCGCGACCACACCCTTGATAAAAAGAGGTTCCCGCGCGCAGCTGGGCGCTCATGTGGCGGCAGGGTGGGCC